TATCAGAGTCAGAGTTAGAGTTCAGTCAGAGATCAGAAAGCCATCAGAACTCAACTCATCAGAAAGCCATCAGAACTCAGAAAGCCATCAGAATCCAACACATCAGAAGAGCCTGATCAGAGCCCGACTAACACTTAGAAGATTTCAAGCAACATCCAACAGATATGAATCCAACGGGTAAAAACATCCAACGGCTAGAAGACTGTGCATGAATGGAAAGCATTTAATGCACATTAAATGAGCCTGATACGCTGAAGGATTGATTGCAAATGATTGACCAAGGAATCCGGGAAGATATATTATAAAAATAGAAACCTTCCAAAACGGCGGTCAAGTCAACAGTACGCGCATTTAATGCAGTTGTCTCCTCCTCCAACGGGCAGACAACCTCAGTATATAAGCTACACGAAGAAGAACAAGGAAGATAACTTTTGCTCCCTTCATTACTCTGAACATACTTCTTGAGATTCAACCTTCATAACACTACAAGAAAAGTCCTACGTTGGGAAGATTCAAACTCCAAATCTTTCATCCCCAACAACGAGCAAAGTTCATCCTGCTCTTCAACTCTTCAAGAACTTCATCAAACATCATTTGTGACGAAGCAAGTTGGAGGAAAAACTTTGTTTTTCAAAGGATCTTCTGCAAAGAAGGGCGTCCAAGTAACTGCAGTAGTGGTGATACTTCCGGGAAGCTGAGTGAAAGGATCAGCCATCAGGACGTGGAAATTGCATCCTGGGTGGCAGCTAGGCTTGAAGAAGGCGTGGAGAACTTCTTAAGTGCTAGGAACTAAGCTTTGTAACCGATCTACTTCAAAGCTAGTGGAACAGTGGACTAGAGGAACGCGTTGTTCCTTGAACCACTATAAAAATATCTGGTGTCATTTAATTTACTGCAACTTATATTTCTGCACTTAGGACTTTAACTGATTAACTCTAAGACTTGGAATCTGTGTTCAGCAGATCTTGTTTTCAGAGTTATCAGGAAGGCATTTGCCTTAGTGTTTCTGAGGCTACCCAGACAGATCAGAATCCGCTGCCAAGGCCAGTTCTGATATCAGAACCAGCCTTCCTCTGTTACCAGAGTAAGACCTTCTCTGATAAGTCAGTTTGGACTTAGAGAAAAATTTGAAAAACCAATCAGTCTATTCACCCCCCCCCTCTAGACTGATTACCATTTAATCGGGACCAACAGTAATGTCTTGTTTAATAAAGTAGACTAGTTATACCATTTATGGTATTAGATTAGTAATTATTATGTAATAAATAAGGTAAAGGGAATAAGGCCCAAAAAGGCCTTGGCCCAACTTCCAAGGTTTACCTAAATCGGTAACCTGTACAGCGCCTATAAATATGCGCCTTGTGTACAGGTACCGATATCGATCAATACACATTAGCCTTACGCTGCTCAAATACTTCTCGATATAATAGAAAGAAGATTTCTCTGTTCTCGATAACATCTCATATCATTCTGTGAAATCTTTCTTTCTGTTTATCTACAAATACCATCTAGCTGATCGTTAGTCTGCATAAACTGGGACCAACACCTTCGTTCTTCGGATCATCAAATCTTCTTGAATGCAGAATTCAACTTGAAGGGCCTCCGGTTTTCAAGTAGCTTGATCTTCAACAAAAGGGCCATTTTGTGGCTTAATCTTCCGTTAAAGGGCTTCTCGAGATATATGGCTTGATCTTCAATTGAATTTTGTTCAATCTTCATATGAATATCTTCAAATCTTTAAAGATTCGTTCTTCATATCTTCGAATCTTCAAAGCATTGTTCTTCAGATCTTCGAATCTTCAAGCTTCGTTCTTCAGATCTTCGAACGTTCTTCAACTTTTGGATTTATTTTATCAAGAATGAAGAAAATCACAAAGGATTATTCGTATATTCTTAATAAAATCGTGGCTTGATCTTTTCCTCTTCTTTGGAATCGTTCAGAGCCTCTCGGGAGTTTTTCAGAGCTTTTCTGCAGTGTTTCTTCGTCTGAAAGTTCTCTCCCTTTTCCCTCAACTGAGACACCTATTTATAGGTGTGGAGGAGGTGAAAATATGCTTAAGGATAAATTTAGCAAATTCGTCCATACGCTTCGGGCCTCAATTAAAATGGGTTTCGGTCTCTATTTGCTCGCACTTTAATAGCTAGAAAAATCAGCACTTATATAATGTATCTGGATAGCCTTTTTAACAAGATTTGTAGCTATTTCCCATACATTTGGACAGATTCCATAACCAGATTCATTGCTTTCTCTATCAATTGGATCATGCCTCTTATGTACTGAGCCACTATTTGATAATGGGCTCAAAATTAATAGGACCGGTCCATTCTTTTAAGGATTTAATTTATAATTAAATTAATTGGATATTTTGAATGATCCAAATTAATTAAATCAATAAATTTTATCCCAAGAGATTCATGTCAGTATTTCCTTCTTGATAAGGCCCAACAACCAACACGGTAGCCCAATTAATTCATGTAGTAATGACCCACTAATTTTAGATGTCCACAAAGAGTATGATGTCACCATGGACCGCTCCCACAGTATAATAACTAGGGGTGGACCCGGTCCGACAAGATCCGAAATCGGTTATGACACTGTTTAGAACTTGCATTGGGTCTGGAAATTCCAGTCTCAGGCCTAGGACCAGCGTTGTCCACTCAAGAGTGGTTCATGGTCCCGATTCACCTATTTGGGGACTGAAGTGCATGGTTTCCGGATTTCCGATCCCAATTTCGTTCCCGTGCCAGTCGATTTTTTGGGCCGGGCGTTCTTGGCCCAGAACTGGACTGACCCAGGTCCATCCCTAATAGCAACTGATACATATGTGTACGTGTAATTCTTATATTCTTTCTTACAATAACAATTTAACGAGTTTTTGCCACTTTCAATCCATCAACTATTATGTAAGTGACACTTTTGGTACTTGACTTCTAATTTTTTCCATTTTTTGTCCTCAACTATTGTGCTAGAGACACTTTTAGTCTCTGACTTCAAGGTTTCCCACATTTAGTCCCCGACTTTTGTCAAATTGACAGTTTTAGTCCTCCCATTATGATTTAGACACAATAAATGGAGGACTAAATATGTCACTATTATTATAGTTGAAGGACCAAGCGTGTCACTTTTATGAAAGTTGAAAGATTAAATATGGAGATTTTCAAAGACGGGTACTAAAAGTGTCTCTAGCGCAATAGTATAGGACTAAAAATGTAAAAAATCAAAGTCGAGCACCTAAAGTGTCAATGACATAATACTCGGAGAACTAAAAGTGGCAATAACTCACAATTTAACTGATAACTAACTTTTACTCATATCTAACACTTGTATGTTGAATTGCTATTGAGCAATATTATTTGAAAAACAATTGTGTTCACAAAATGTTATTGAACAATATTATTTGAAAAGCAATTGTATTCACAAAATGACTCATTAAATGATACTTGTACTGCGTATGAAATTACCTCATAGAGTAAATATTATCCAAATTGAATAGTATCAATTAATACAAAGTATACAAAACTAGGGATGGGATCGGTCCGGTCTGGGTCGGGTTTTTGCTAAACCCGGAAATTACTCGGAAGGTCTTGGGTTATGAAAATTAAGAACCAGAACAAAGTCTATTATATCCGGTCCGAACGTGAAATCATATCATTGTCTTTTATATTTTAAAACCTATTTTTAAATAAAATTAATAAAAAAACCAAAAATAATAACACAAATATTAGTATCCAAAATCACCAACAATTCAAATCCAAAGAAGATAATTGTTTTAATATTTTGTTTAAGATGCATATAAATAAATAATATAGGTTTTCTAAAAATATTATGAGATAAAAACTTATGGATATAAAAGTGAATAAGTTTATGGAAATATATTTATATTTCCATGGTCATTATTTATATGGTAAACAAATTGAATATATTTTTAGTCACTAAAAGTTACTAGATCATGTTTTCATCCACCATGATTATAAGCATATTTGTATATTATATTGCTTTTATATTAAAACTAATTGTTTCGTGTTATTATCAGTCTGAACCGGGTTATAGATTTATGGCCCACTTATGAGCCCAAATGTTCGGGTTCAGTCCGGTTTTTTTTATTCGGGCCGGTTAAATAGAAAAAAACCGGACCAAAAATATCATTTGGGCCGAGTTAGGGTCGGTTTCCGGGTTTCGGTTCGGTTTTTCCCACCCCTATACAAAATAGGGGTTATGGTTGCTTATCTATACCTTCACAAATTTAAGTAAAATTTCTAAAAAATCAATTACACTACTTTCATTCTAGCTTTATCTCACGTCTACTCTCTTTCCTCTTCTTCTACACACAAATCACCAACAATAGTCAATGGGTCATGACTCATGGGTGAGGAACTCCATTTGTCCCAATGTCACATCATTTCCATTTTTAGTCTTTTAGATTATATTGCACCTCTGCTTTTATATAAACTAAAATCATAGAATTGTATTTGCACTTTGTCAATAAGCATGCTGCATGCCCAATCAAAATGTGAAGAGAATCTTGAAAGGAAGAACAAAATTTAACCCGTACACTTGTTGTATACTATCACACTTGTTGTATACTATACTATCGTATATTCTAATTGCATATGAATGTCAAAATTATTCCACACAAATTGTTTGTCAAGTTGCAAAATAAGAAAGCACATCTTGAAAGTACAAAATTATCGCAAAACAGCGGTATTTAAGAGTTGAATAAACCCCACCTGTTTCTGTATGAAATAATTATCATTCACCCTACCAAATTTTTAAGATCTTTCTTTAGTTGGGTGTCCAAAAAAGTTCGACGTCTTTACTTAAAGGATATCCCAAAAACATCGAGACTTGTATACCATTTCTACTTTGTAGGAAGGAGGCAGTACAAATAGCTTTGGTGTGTTTGATATCACTAACTCGTGTATAAGTTTATAACAGGACAAAAAAAACGTATTATCACTAACCGTATTTGGGCCGAGTTAGGGTCGGTTTCCGGAGTTAGTGACGATCTGTTTGATATCACTGGCGAGAAATGTACTTGTGTAAGTTGATAACAGGACAGAAAATACATCATACAAACCGTATTATGTATGGGGAATTGTATATCAGCTCTTACATTTGAAGACAATATAATTAGGTCGACAAACTAACTATGCAGAAAGGAGTGCATAAGATTACAAACATTTCGTCAACAATGTTTTCACATACAAATGATACAATGGCTATGAAAGAAACAGATCGTCATCAGTTGGATAAAAATTGACAAAGAATGCTTAGCGATTAGTTATTCCTAGCTCAATGCAGATGGAAGGAAGCCCTGTCTCCTCAAGCAAACTAAAGGCACAGAACCCATAGTAGGAATGGTAAATATCTGGCAGCTCTCCTGGAGTTTTACCAAACCCACCATACTGTTGGCCGAACAAATGAATCATTATAAGTTATAACGTTCAGCGAACGAGATTTGTCTTCAAGCATGTTTTGAGAGTTGAGACACTACAAAGATCCATTCGTATCCCAGAAAATGCTAGGGGTATAAAACAAGGATAAAAGGGGGAATTGAGGTGTTCAAACTCACTAAATCAATCTAGATGTTGTTCATCGATTTAAGCAGAATTATTCGATTTCAGTGTTGCCAATCGGGCTCTAAGACTAAGAAAACTTTAAACTACCTCCTTCCCCAAAACCACTTCCACTTTCCTTATTTGGGTGTGCCAAAATGAACTCCTCATTTCCAAAAAAAGTAACATTTCCACTTTCCACTTTTTATTGGAAAGTCAACTACTCACTTTAACTTTCCACTAAAATGTGCTTAAGTCAAAGTGGGAAGTTGTTTCCAGGACGGAGGGAGCATATGTTAACTCTTATAGTTAAATCAAGTTTAATTTTCCTCCTGAATTTTTATGGAGGTTAACCAAACTTCAATAACAAAAACATATACTCCGTATCTTAGTATCCTTTTCTTTCTCTCCCTACCCTTTATAGGTTTCAAACGTAGACTATAGATAAATTAATAAAATTTAGCACCGGGCTATTTTATGGATGAGAAGTGCCAGTAATACTACCTGAGATTGACACGTAAAAAGAAAGTTGTGTATACTCTTCTTGTGAATCAGCTTCTGTGCGCCTAAGATCTTCAGGACTCCTCCAACCCTAGTAAAGCAAATGAGTATTTGTTAGATTGAGGCGTAAAGAAATCTTTCATTGAATAAAAGCCAAATGTGGACTGACCAAAATGCATAGCAGGTATCACTGGGTTTGTTCAGTCTTCCTTGGAATCCACCATCAGGTCCCTGCCTCTGCATTCGAAATAGACTTTGTAGTCAATCTGAATCTGCTACTACAACTAACTGATGTTAACTTATCGAGTGATTTAACGCTATGCATAGTAAAACGTGATAGTATATTATATATATGTGTGTGTGTGTGTATATATGAGCACACACACACACCTTTAAGGCCCAGTCAAGAAGTGAAGGGACATCAATAAAGCACGGTGATACCGTCTTTAAGAACAAATCATCTTCAATCAACCCCATTAGCCGGAGAGACGCAATTGCACAATAAGTGGCCCCACCTGTGATACTAATGAACAATTACCATCCATGAGTACCCTATGCACAATCAGATGTAGAAGAAATGTTTTTTCTCAAATAAAACAGTCACGGATTTGTATGTCTTAACAACAATGACCATTGATGTTAATTAGTAACGAGCAGCCTACAATTTCATTTATACACTATACATAGCAAAGTGATATACTCAATTTATTTTCCTTTTATTTTTATAGTTATTGTTGTTGTTATTGTAGTTATAATAGAAAAGAGAAAGGCAAACTTCACCAAAACAAAAATGAGGTCCACTTCATTGAACCTTTTTTTTTTATTCAACTTTTCCATTAATTAAAGCCAAGAAGGCTTGTAGGAGATAAACGTAAAAACAGAAGACGGGAAGTGACAAATAGTTCAGATTTAACACATACAAATAAAAATTATCTTCAATTCGCCTTCAGTCATAGAGAAGTGACACAATTCAATAGTGAAGAGAAGAGAGAAATATCACTCACCATGGGCTTCTAAACCGGGAGTTAAGCCAAATCCACCATCATATGACTATATCAAAAGTCAAAAGTACATAATGAGAAAGCATAAAAATACACACATATAAGTTATAAAGTACTATTCCTCTACGACTACATGTGCCTGACTGGATTTTGGTGAGGCCAATATGGATTTGACCATTAGATCACTTCAGGAGTTCAAATTCTTTGCTCATTTATATATTAGAATTAACTATGAATTTCAATGGTTAGGTATTTAGATCTTCTAATTGTTCAAAGATAGAAGCTAGAAACTCAATTTATTTCCTTGAAAATTTACCTAACAACTTTAATTCCTCATTAGAAATTGAGTTATCTTCAGTATAATTGAATAGTTGAATGATTTCACTGTTTATGATTTCATACTCATGAGCAAAAAAAACTTGTCCATTGATTTAATTATTGGCTAAAACCAAAATGCACCTGACAAGATTCCCATCAAGTGTGCCCTACTTGATCTATTCTTTATATGAAAACTCTCTCCGTAGAAAATGAATGCAGTAAAAGTGAAGCAGGCTCGCTAGGAATCTTATACTTCATCAAGAAAATCAATACGAAAAACATATAATATGATCACACATATTATACCTGGCAATTACATATGTACTCTTTGGCTTTCTCTCTATCCATTCCATCCCAATTTTCCAACATGGAGCTGATTGCAGCTGGTAGAATAATAAATTACATTTAGGTTTGGATTATTAACCCAAGCTAATCAACCTGAACTGCTAGACCAGGAGTATCTACTTACCAGCACAATATACAAATCTGAGATCTGCTGTCTCTGCCCCGGTATGGATAGGCATAAAACTGAAACATAAGAGGAAAAGCTTTAGATAAGTGTAAGCTTAATTTCAAATCGAAAAATAAAAAACTTATACACATCAAATGAATTACAGTCATATTAGCATATGAAAGCATGTTCTCCTTTCAGTTTTAATAATGCAAAACTTTATAATTGTACAAAACATCAAAAGTTGGGAAAAAATAGTCCAGCAGTACTGAAGCAATGAGTGTAATACCTTCCATCAGGCTGTTGAAGCGATCTCATTGATTTCACTATGGATGTGGAGTCAATGAGCGATAAGTCATACCCTACAGTCTTCAGAATAGCAAGAGCACAGTAAGTGCTAGCCAAATGACTGCCATTAGGGATGAGACCCTGCATACAATAAAGGTGCACCTTAACTTTGAATAATTTCAAGCCTCCTACGCACGGAAGAAACTGATCAGTATATGCAATTCTATTACCCCGTTACTATTAGAATCAAACTGAGAGCTTTTAGAGCCATGAAATCCATAAAACTGTCCTGTGACGAACATAAATGTTTCATGTAAACATATTTCAATTTCAACCAATAAGTCTTTTGCAGAGAGAATACGGTACCATTTTCCAGTTCAGCCTCATTCTTTGGATGAGCGTGTAAAGATAGAACCCAATTGATCACTCCTTCCTTATCAACCTGATAAAAAAAAAAGAGAAATACATGCGATTAACATCACACTGTGCCGCTCTAGTAACGCTCATCACTCTTTCTATGCCATCAAGTAATAATCAGCGACAAAAAACATGAATGAAATTTAATGGGAAATGTAGAATACAAGATGAAGGCCGTCGAGTATATCAAGACCAGAGATGGCGAAATACGCTAGAGTTAAGCGGTTGATCTCCTGCCCCTGGTACTTTGCGGGCAATACCTCCAGCATCATTCGTAAGTAGCAGATGTGTCGATCTCTGTCGAAGAAATCCAAAGCAGATCTCACCTCCGAATACGATTCTGATTCATCTGAGTAAACATCGTCCTCGTCCGCCATGGGTTCAGATGGAATCGAGAGATAGTGCAAGTGCAGAGTCAAGTTCCAACTTCAACTTTAAGGTTGTTAGTTGACTTTTACGAGAATACCCTCTTTTTAAAATCACTATCCAAATGCCAAAAACAATACTTCATCATATTGTTTACCCCACAGGTGATTTCATCGTATAAATAAATTAAGACACAGGTGAGAAGAATTATACGGAGTATATACTGCTTACCCCACAGGTGATTTCTGGTTTACAAAACGAATTTCATCATCAATAACCCATTCGGAATACCAGAATGATTCATGACTAAAATTTGTCCATTTTGAAAAAAATCATCAGAAGGCAAACCATATTTGCAGCACAGTATATCCTGTGGGGGGGGGGGGGGGGAGGCACAGATGCACGTTGTTTGTGTGTGAATATACCTGGCCAAGAAATTACCAGCTAGCAATTGAATTCCCTAAGGAAAATTTATATCGTTTGCTCTTTTCCCTATAAAAGGAAAGGGGTGGAATCTGCGGGGAGAAGAAGAGATCAGACTGCCAAACATAGAACTAATGTGCTAAAATGTACGTCATATAAATAAAAATAGATATACTAATCAACTACCACATTCATAGGCTGTTGGCACTCATTGAACAACGAAGCCTCTTAGGCTCTTAATTATGTCATATATATGGATCGTTTTGCACTTCCAATTTTAATGGATTGTACTCATCAAAGTTTGGTTAATTTCGTCTTCTCTCTAATGCTTTCATCCCTTAATTTGGTGAATTTGGTTATTTGATTACTTCTTTTAACTTATAGCCATGATAGTTTACTCATACTTTACTTTTACTTCATTGTAAATACTATGTATTACGTACTCTCTTTTGAGCTATGGAAATAAAGTTATTGAATGGTTTACTTATTCTGAATGCTCCATACATAATGACAACACATTACACATAATGACTTTAGGTTCATTTCTTTCATGCCTATATTTGCTTTTGGCTTATTTTGCTAAAGTCTAAAGAGTTCTTTAACCTTCAACATTATAATTGATAATTATTATTTTTAATTTATTTCCTGACTGGATGCATATATAACAGCATAAGTAGTTAAGTACACTCTTAGCAGTTTTCATCAACTCTGTGTATGTTAAGTATGAAATACTCCGTATTTGATATTTTATCTAACATGTGTCATGCTTTGATATGTATGTTAATAAAAAATGAAACTGTATTACCTTACATGTGAAATTGTAGGGGTGGGCAAAAATACCGAACCGGCATGATACCGAACCGGACCGGTATGGTACCGGACCGATAAATGGGGTTTGAAACGGATCTCAAAATTTTTGTCCCGAACCGGACCGAACCGATTCCAAACAATGCCATGACCGGTTCTCATAAAATGAGAACCGGTACCGGACCGAACCGGACCGAAGTATGGTTTATTAAATTTGTACTACTATAGTTTATCTAAAATATATTAATTACTTCATCCGTCCCAAATTGATTTGCAAAGCCAACATTTTTTTGTCAAAGTTAATGTTAAATTCTTGATAATTAATACTCCCTCCGTCCCAATATAAAAGACACATTTGTGTTTTACAACATTTTAAGGAGAAACACTGTTTGGCACTGTTACGACATTGTTTGGCATTGTTTGGACACTGTTTGGACACTGTTTGGCACTGTTTTGCACTGTTTTGTTTGCCAAAAAGGGAAATGTGCTTTTTATATTGGGTCGGCCCAAAAAGGAAAGTGTGCCTTTTATATTGGGACGGAGGGAGTACAATTTTTAATAAATAAAATTTACATATTTAGAAACCACATTAAAATCTCTCTAAAGTTGCAAAATCCAAATTAAAATATACTAAGTACGGAGTAGTTTTTTTGAAAGGCCAAATTAGAATGTAATTAAAAAGTGAAATTCTAATTAAGTGAATAAAAAGAAATTGTTTGACCAAAAAAAGATTGACTTTGCAAATCAATTTGGAACGAAGGTAGTATGATACTATGTATATGAAAATTGATAAATTGTGTAGATTTTTGGAGGATGGCTAAACTTTAATTTTTTCTTAAACACCTGAAAAAAGTGGCATTGTTTGGTATTTGTATGGCATGGTACCGTCCCGTTTGAAAATGGACCGTACCGAACGGGTTTGGGTCTAAGACCGAACCGTACCGAACCGTTTCAATAGTAACGGTACGGGTACGGGTTCGGCCAAATATTGGACCGGACCGTGCCCACCCCTATGAAATTGTGAATGAAAATATTTTAGGTGTAATGAAATTATTTTATAATTAGTTGTTTCTTTCTCTTCTTTTTAGTAGACAAAATAACTTTGTTACTTTGACTACTAAATTCTTTAATAAACCACAAACTGAGTTATTATATAACCCGGATGAATTTATTGGTATCATATAAAAATGCATATTGCTATACTGCCACCCCAACACATTTGATAAAAAATCATAGTGACCATAGATATTAATATATTATACGTACTTCTACATACCTACAGTTTATAAACAAACTCCTATTTAACAAAATTGAAATAAACTACATTTTTATGTTACACAACATGTATTGGGCACTAATGCACTATCTTAATCGCACAGAGCGCATTACGAAACTAGTACCAATATACTCTCCCATCTTGTACCCGCATTTATTATCCCTACATCTAAAGTCATTTTTGAAATTAAAAAATCTCTGCTGCACAAGATCAACTTTAGTCTGGATCTTGCCCCTCAAATCATCCGGTTTATCTCTCAACTCATAGGTACTGATCACTTGAACTACAGACAGTGAAGGAGATTTGGTCATATCACATTTTCATCAAAATACAACAAATCAGGTTGTTACTTGAAAATAGCCAAAGATAAGCGGAGCTTCATTTTCATCCCAATGGGTCCACAAAAGTCCAGCTTGTTTGAATTTCTGACAATCTTTTCTAAATTTATAGGACTCACTAATTTAGTGCAGGAAGAGCCAATTTTTTCAGCGAACAGGGTGACGACAACCACTGAAGAACCAGTGTCTATTTCCAAACAAATTTTTGCTTTAGATTTTTTGGAAGTCTGCACAGAGAAACAACACTTTCAATTTCCAGGAAAACAACCAATGTTGATTCAGGCCTACTCAGATGCCTCGAACAATTTCGACCCATCAGACGACTCTTTCTTTTCAGATGACTTCCTAGGGCACACAACTGATAGCACACAGCGACTCCTTATTTCTAGTCAAGACGACATTAGGGACTCTCAATTCAATAGAGAGATCTGCTTTAAATCACAATTCATTACTCAAGACATTTGCTTTCCAATAGAGAACCTGAACGCTTACTTGGAATATAGCATGCAGACTAGATCGCAGGCCAAAAAATTCTCATGAGAATAGTTTTTATTTTAGCGTATTTTCCCCTTCTGTTATATTTTTTTTGTGCATTGTCCCCAACATTGTTTTATCTAATAAAATTTCTTTTTATGAAAAAAAAAGGCTGAAAAGGTTAAATTAGATTTTTAATAGTAAAAATTCAAATTTCCAGAAGAACTGATTTTGCTGAACACTTTAATTAATTACCATAACTAATCATATTCCCAAATTGGAGTAAATTATCAAATTACAAATCATTTAAATCAATTAAAAAAAATAACCAAGAAAACATTTATAATCCAATCTCCTAAATTTTTTAAAGAGACGGGGAAAAAATCCGAAGAAATTCTTGAAGCAAGTGAATATGGGGTTGCATGTCACCAACGAGAGACCCTAGGTATCCCATGCTGAATATGTTGGTTATATGTCACTAGTGACCCATCCCGTAACATGACCCTCACCTAAACCATCGATAAAAACTGAATCTCTAAAAGGGATTCTAAACCCTCCAAATAGTAAGGAGTTCAAGTAGTCGGGATAGGGTTTCTACAAAGTATTCCATAAGGACGACTCCTATAAAAGTAGAATAGGGACTACCACTACCAAATTGCGAAGAAAGAGATGATTACATCCAAAACATCTGAATTGATAACTGCAGCAAAATAAAAGAAAAATCCACCACCAAATAGTAGCCCTAATCCACTCACCAAGTCCCTTACATATCAGGATGTAGAAAATTATACCACAGATTACACCCGTGTGTTCATAAATAAAAAAAATATTTTCCAAAAATCAAGTTTAACCCAAACCCCTTTTCCAAAAATAGTATATGTAATACTATTTTTAAAATAATCCAATTAGGATATCTCTGAGCCCAGAATATACACTTACATATAAACACAAGACTAGAATGTATTATTATAATCTAATTCAAACCAAAACAATTCTCACAATTTTCTAATCCAAAAACAATTATTCATCAAAAATCTCAATTTCGGCCATAGTAAATCAATTTGATTAATTTACCCAATTTTCGTTTATCCAAAAGTTCCATGAAATCACACATCATTATATGTAACGTAACGTAGCCAAATTACTCATAAAATTTTAGAAGGAAACTCACTTCATAGCTCAAACCATAATTAATACATAATAGGAGCAGAATAGTAATTTTGGTTGGCATAGTACTTACGTGAAGACTGACAACAAAATATGCATGTAAATCCTAGGTTAGGAGATCACACACGTGACCCTAGTAATTCGTAGAATTCTAGGGATTATAATTTAGTGGAGAGAAATAGAAGAAAACGAAAGAAATTAGTCGAACGCAATTATCGGAAGATTTGATCAACTTAGCTTTTTTCTTGGACTCAAAATTCGTCTTGGATAGATTAGGAATGAATACAATGAAAACAGTAGTCGGGGAAGTCAGATTTAGGGTTTCAAGACAAAAAGAAATTCATAAAAAGGGTGATATTTACGCCTTAAGGAGGAGGCGGAGGGGGGGGGGGAGGAGATTATGTACGGTCGACAGCGGAGGTGCGGTGCGAGGCCACAGTCGGCGGTGGTGGAGCTGCAATGCATGGGAGGAAGGGATGTGCGGCTGTGCGGAGCTGCTGCGATGAATTTTTGCAGGCGAATGATAATCATATCCTATTTAGGGGATTTAAAACATGTAGTCCTATTGTGGACTTTTGA